TGCATATGAAAAGCAGTTAACACAGTTTGCTTATGTACCACAGTGAACAGTTGCTCTTCGTTGCAGGTGTTCTCAGAGAGTGATGGCTTAAGCACAGCTAGCGTTTTGTCCGATAAAATGTTATCAGAAACCGGCGAACGAACACGTCTGCTGCTTGAGCGTACGTATGGTATGTTGCGAGAGGCAACCCTGGCAAAATCTTATATGCAACGAAAAACCGCAGAAAATTCTCTACTCAGGTCATTTTAAACGCCGCCCTTGTATCTTGTCTTTATTAAATTTTATTGTTACAAATACCGCAGAGTTTGCCCGAGATTCTCTGATATGTACACAGTGGTTTGGATCTCTCTGTCCCTCTCTGTCGCATTTTAATTATGCGAATTAATGGCTGAATTTATGTTCAATTGGGTTTTTATAGTTCCCGAAATGCGTGTTTCGAATTACAATAAGTCTTTTGTGTATCAGCTGTGGTAGAGTGAATGAATGAAATAGCACACAAGTGATTTACAGGGATATGGATGCCCTCCGTGAGGCCGATGAGCGAGTTGCTGGCACTGCGCAGTTCCTGTCGTACTTGTTGAAAATCCTTACTCACTGCGACCTCTGCATGCAAATTCTCTGTCATGGTGGTGTTCTGCAGACTGCCACCAATTCTGCTAATGAGGTATTGAACATATTGTTATTCACATTGTCGCATTTCTCTTTTACCTGCTCTCAAGGCCTGTTGCCCGCTTTTTCTCAAAAAATCGAGATTCGATGCTGAATTGTGCATGATCGTATAAGTTTTGATTATGATTAGTATCATTTTCGAGTAGCATAGAAGCTAAAAGAAATAAGCAACAATAAAAATACACGAACAAAAATTCCATGCTTTTTCAGCTTTAATGATATTTAGCAGTTGTGTTTTGTGTTGTGTAGCTTGTGTTCTTTTTTCGTTAAATTTCTCAATTTCAGGGTCTCAGATTGGTGCAGCGTGTTGTTAGTAGTTTTTCGTCGGTTGACAATGTCATGCTGGCCGTGCTAGAAGAATTTCGTTTTCAGCTCTCTATCTTAAGACTGGCAGCGTTATTTGAAGCAATGCCTAGCGCTTACGAAAAAAACGCAGCACAGCTTGTGCAGGCCGAAGTGAATGCCGCCAAAGAGTGAAGTTTTGTTAAATTATTAACACTTTTGACGTTTCCCCCAAATCACATCCAATTGCGTACAGTTTAATACTAAATCTTCAAAAATAATTGCTTTAATTTTTTTTTTTTTAAAAATAGAGACGATTATGTATAGCGCACTGACAAGTAGCGTTGAAGGGATTTCATCAGCAATTTGTTTATTTGATGATAAATTCGTGCCGGGGCATGCTAAGAAATCGGGTTTTTTATGCGTTTTGTGCTGTGTAACAGCAGTACAAAACGCATATTGTTACGGGGTTGTCT